TTTTACACAAAAGATCTCTGTCTTTATTGTGTCCTTTGTCATATAGCGAAAAGAAGAGGCGGTATAAATTGTATGTATTATTTGGTTTGCCTTCTCCATGAATACGAAACGGTTCTAGTTCCTCAAATTCGTCCCTGGCTATTTTGCTTGAACCTCTTGCTTAAATTACAGATTGAAATTAAATTCCGCCCGCCGTTTTATTTCTTAATTAATTAGACCTTCTATTTTATCCCGTTCATTTATCTATTATTCATGTAAATTTGGAAATGGACCACTCCGAATTTTAATATTTAATTCCATTTTCTATGAGAAAATAAGGACTCTACTTTAGAGATGCGTCCATATGTTTCATAATTTTTTATGCGTTCCATGAACTTTTATGCATCCCATCAATGTATATACCAGGGGTGTGCCGAAAGTGATTTTAAAAAGCGAAAGGCGAAAAGCGAAAGTCGATTTAAAAAGCGAAAGACAAAAGGCGAAACTCGCACACCCCTAGTATATACGTTCCATTTTTGACTTTCTACCTTATTTTTGACCAATTTTGACCAATATGCTTATCATATTTTTAATTGGCTGCGTCCTATTTTACTGTTTTGGAAATGGGTACCTTAATTTCAATGCCAATGATATTTATATGAACCAGAAACTAGGATAAAACAGGATATGAATATTTTTAAATGAAGGGACGAACACTTGTTACGACTCGATTAATTAATTAATTTACTTTTAAATTTGTAAATAATCGGTATGATTTCCTCATCATCTTGCTTGAAAATGCATAAAACAGGATAACTACGTTCAAAATCCCTTTCGGCATCCGGAAGATTTTTTACCAAGGTAACAGATATCTGACCAAAATTATTGCGAAATAACAAATTGAAAGCTGAAAACTGATTTTTCATTATTTTATGTGCAAAGTTCTCATTCATTTCATATTGATCAAAAAAATTGATGTATCCCACAAGTGATACTTGCCATCTAAAATTTAACGATAAAATAAATAAATCAGTACCACTCGGTTATTGTTTAAAAAATAACTATGAATTTAATATAATACTAGCAGAGGGGCTTGCTCTTCAGGCGAGTCCTTCTGCTAGCCAGATTCTAAATCCTTACAAGAACTTAAGCTAAAAGCAACTCATCCTTAACATCCCATTCTTTACTATACAGATCAGGCTACTATTTAATATCAATGTCAAACTATTTAGCAAAAGGCAATTGCTGATATATCACTTAATCACAAAAGACAATTACAAATATCACAAACCCTTCCCATTGCTGGACCCTTTTCTCCCAACATTTACTCTACCTATTGACTATCAATAGGCACCTTTAGTAACCTATACATTGTCAAACTATCTGGACTGCCCTCTCGATACAGATCTCGGCCATAGCCGGACTTATTCTCTATCGCCGGAGACTTTTGCCGATTTCAAACCCTTTTATCATACAACATAAAGCATAATAGATTCCCTAAAAGGTACTATCAACTAGTGTTTATTGTAGTGTTGCTCGGCTTTAATGTACTTAAACAAATTTACGTTGTATCCATAGCAGAAAAAACTTTCCCAACTGGATTAGAAATAATGAATGACAATATCAATCTTCGTGCCAAAATAAACAATTTGTGCGTAATAAATAAATTTCTCTCATGATAGAAAATTCTTGTTAAATGCTTTGCAAGTTGATCAAATACATGACTTTCGCTAAAATTAAAAATAAATTTTAAAAATTATTAAATGATACTTAAAATAAGGTAAAGTAAAAAATATACAGTATTTATTCTAATATAAGACCTGGGGTTATCTTTTCAATGGGTTTCATCGGATGGGCTTTTATTAGATGTAGGTTTATATTAGAATAAATACGGTATTTAATTCCTAAGGCTATTTAATTCCTAATTCCCGAGAAAAATAAAATTCCCGATTTCGGGAATCGGGAATTTTGTTGGCGCGATCCTTGATGTGAACCTTACCGAATATTCCTTAATGAACCAGGAATATTATTTACATCTTGTTGACCACCAAACTCATTTATATCTAAACCGTGATTTTCAATAAATCGAACATAATCATCCCTGTCAACAGTTCGTTTATATGCATTAATTCTTTTATTAATAAAAAGAAGTTGAGTTTCTTTATCCGTACTTCTGTACTTTTCTTTTATTTGTTTTTCATAATTGTTAAGAATTTTTTCAGAATGTTCTATCACCTGTAAATTAGGAAGGTTATCCATTGGGTCGAGGGGGAAGGGGGAGAGGGACCCTGATGCATAGCGATACCTATTGTTAATTATTTAATGGGAAACTAAATAAGTCTGCAAAAGTCTTCTGTAAATAGCCTTTCAATCTTTATCAATGTTAACTTCCCTTCCTTACCGCTCTTATTTTTCGAGTAAAACCACCAACAAACGGGCCATTTGGTCCAATTTCCACAATTTCTTCAAATTCTTTTATTACTTCAGCTCCTTTTGCAATGAGTATATCTTTAACAGACTCATAATTTTTGCAATTTTCTATGCAAAATTTATCTAAAATACTCATCAGAAAGGTCAATTCAGAAAGAGATAGAGATTATGATTGGTGGAGAATCTGCTTCACAGTATAGTGAACATTCTATATTACCATTATATATAGTACTATTATAATCCCTAAAGAGCTATTAGATTGGCCAGACCCTAACTACCCCGGTGTTCTATTTTATGGGGAAAAATTAAAGACTGATTAACTGCGAACTGATTTATAGGAGAAACAATATCATTATATAAGCATAAACATGTGAATAGGATATGTCACAGGAAATAGCGAAAAATAATTAAGAAAGTGAAATGACTGGGAAAATCTATTAAGACATTCATTAGCCCTTTGTAAAAAATCTGCGACAACAAGAAAATCATTTTACAGGAAATTAAAAAGGGCAATAAAGTGCATTGAGGTGATTATGGCTCGATTTCATGTTAATGGATATTATGCTATGGCTCGGATACATAGTGACTTTTATGCGGGGCTCTTATTTAATTAAAAAAATTTTTTTAATTTATTGTGTAACCCACAAAGTGCAATTATTAGAGCCCGGATTTTTAGGCAAATGCCTGTTTTTTTCCTAGATAGGCCTGATGCTGAAACATTCAAATCCGGTGTTATTTTACTGAAATCTGCTTTCTAACTAATTTTATCATTGCCTAAAATTGCCTATTTTAGCTTTTTCTGACAAAGTGCCCTATTTTGCCTTTTTTCAGCCTATTTAGCATATTTTTGCTAAAATTTGCGAATTTTTGGGCATTTTTTGAGAAAATTGTCGAATAAAAATTTTTTTTCTGGTAAAATATAAAATTTTTCCAAAAAATTTTTGTCAAAAAATTTTTTGGGAAAATTTTTCTTCTGAAAAATTTATCAAATTATTTTTGGAAACAAAATAATTAATATAAATTAATTTATATGTAATTCTGATCGTCGAAATTAATTTGATTAACATTTTATTGCTTAAATTTATCTTTTTTGATAAAATTTATTCAATTTAAATCAGAAAATCTCGAAAAAATCCTGCCTATTTTGCATTTTTTTTCAGATTTTAGTGCCTATTTTGGCAGTTTTTTAGTGCCTATATAGGCGCCTATTTTGAACTTTATCGTGCCTAAAAATCCGGGCTCTAGCAATTATATAGTAGTACTTGTAAAAAAATAAAATTGTCATATTATTAGAAAATTATCATCTGATCTCAAGTATGTTCATGGCTCGTTGCCTCCATAACCGAAAGACTGGAATCGAATCCGGAATGTTCTCTTCAAATACTTCTTAATCTCTCCAATCCCCAATATTTATTACTCAAAACATTTTTCAGGTAATATGTATTAGAATGAACTTTCGGGATTACGTAATTTATCAACCTTTTAAAAAAATCCCGTCACAAGAGCTCGGGAGTGCAATTTAGTCACTCTGATCTCTAGGTCAGGAAATTGTCCTATGAAAGTGTATAAAAAAAGAATTTGTAAATTTATTATGAAATATCCAAAAAATAATGGATAAACAATTAAACTAAAAAGATATCTAGACAGTCAGTTTGACAAATAAGCAAAGGGAGAAAAAGATTAATAAGAAGGTTCGGGATATTAGTTTGCCGGGATCAGCCAATACGAATCCTAACTTTGAGCATCTACAATAACGCCAACTGACTTTTCTCCAAATTTTCAATTTTTCGTATTTTTAATCATTTTCCAATTTTTAATCTTTTTGCCAATTCGACATCGATTTTCGGGTTATGTATTTTCTAATATCTAGACCAGATTTCTTCCATTTTTAGCCACGCAGGCGAAAATTGTCGAAATTTTAAGGAAACCTTAATTTTTTTAAAAAAAAATTTAAAATTTTAAGCACAAAGGTAGGTTTATTCCAAAATAATTCGAATGAGAGCCCTGTATAAAACAAAAATATTTAATCGAAAGTCAATGAGAAACAACTCACAAAATTTTATGGTTTATGTATTGGTTTATGTATACTTTTTCAGCCACGTCCTTTTTTCCCTTTTTCATACTTTTCTTTTACTACTACTCCTCAACCATCAATTCAGCTAAGAATGTAGAAAAGGTTAGTGAGGAAATAGATAACTCATCGAGCAGAGTTTAATGACACCAGACTCTGTCATTGATCTCTGGGAAGAATTACAGGGGTCAAAATGTCATTTTGAGACAAATGATTGTAAACACATAATTACCGGAAAAAATCAAAATACCGGACCATTATTTCAAAAACGTAGTCCTGGGTATTGATTCAAATGCTAATTTTTATTTTGGTGAAATTGGAAAGAAAAACTGATCTTTTCTTTATTAATGTCTCTCATTGAACATGCCTCAGGGAAAATTGAGTGAGATCGAGGAAGAAAGAATGCAAACCGATCTGTACATATTTAGTTTGTTTGATTAATAATGGAAAAGGAAAAAGGGGCGTCGCTAAAAAAGGATACCATATCTAAACCATATTAGTTCCCATAGAAATATAAATTTCATTGATTAAGAAATTGATGAGGAATTGTTTTGTCATCATCAAATAATAACTTAATCAGTTCTGGATTAAATCTAGGACCAGCATAAGGATATTTAAAAGCACATCCAAATATATGTGTAAACCAACAACGAAGTTCAACAAGATCTTTGATATTTTTTGGAAAGTTTGGCAAACACAAGAGACGATGCTCTTCATCCTCGTCTTTTTCAAGTCTGACAACAATTGGCCTCTGAAATGTTGAATGATCTAAATACAACGGAATTGATTTAGCTAATGCTGCTTTCCACTGAAAAAAATTAAATGTAATTTTATTAAAAATTAGTTCAACCTTCTTCTTAAGTTGATCATTTAACGTAAATTTAAATATTCCAGATTGTTTAATGGATTTAGTGTTTGGAAAGACTTTAGCACTAAGTTTTTTATTTACAAGTTGTTTGAATCTCTTCTTTGCCAATTGTTCTTCAAGTTTATTAATTAAATTGTAAAAGTAAGAATTGGTTTGTCTTAGAGAAAATAATTGGTTGAAATTAAGGCATTTTAATATATCAAGTCGAACTTCAGTTGGAAGAGAAAACATTGGATCCTTTATCTAGAAAAGAGCAAATAAAAAATTAAAATCTTCTAGAATTTATTTAAAAGTGGAAAAATTGGAAGATTAGGTAAGTGTTTGAGGGAAAAAACTTAGGAATAGCAAGCTGGTTTTTGGGGTAAAAACTTCGATTGTACAAATGTTAGCTTATTCGAAAGTCCGAAATACACTGAACCAAATCTCCATGATTGAACGTGTTATAACCATTTGTTTTTAATCCTCAAATAAGGCCCTCGCGGAAAAACAACCGCCGGCTGATTCGTGCATCATTCGACTCAGCTCGTCGAATTCTATTCGAATGACATATATAAAACGGATCGGAGTCTGGCCCCCAAACACAATTTTTCCAAAATTTGGATAAACTATACCCTCGGAGGATTTCTAGAGTTGAGCAATCTACCGATATGTCAATCGAAATAGCAAAGCGAACTGAGTCGACTAACACAAAATTTTTCCAGAGAAACAACATTGTCGAGACCTCATTTTTGGCCGCCGAACTATGCGAATTCAAATTTGAGGGACGAAGTTCGCTGAACCAAAACTTGCGGACTCGAATTTTGCAAAGCTCAAATTAGCAAAACGAAATTTACGAACAGACAAGTGTCTTCTTGACTTAGGAAATTTAAAAATTTCCGCCTGTGACCTTAGATGAGTGAATTCTTTTCTGGGTGAATTTATGGAATCCGAGGAGTCGATTAATTAAAATTTTATTTTACACACAAATTTCGTTTATTAAATTTCAAGTACGCAAAAACCAGGTCTGCAGCTTTTGTTCCGCAAAGTTCGAGTACGCGAAATGCTGTTCCGCAAAGTTTGCGCCACGAAATTAAGTATTAAAAATACAAACAATTTTTCTACTACTCACTGGCAAATAATCATAATGTTGTTGTTCAATTGCTGACGAGGTAGAATGAATGCAAGAAATTGTTTGATTAATTTGAGCTTTCACAAACACCTAAAAAATTAAATTTAATTAAATTTATAAATATTATTATACTTTAAAAGGTGATCCGAGGATCGGAGTAGCAATAAAATTAGCATTGATTGTGTAAAGACCAGGTGATTGGACTGTGTATCTGAATTGGAAAGTTTTAGAAATTGTTCTAATTATAATTAGTATAAGCGAAAAGAACGAACTCGACTTGATAATTGCTTTCATTTAGATGCTGTACAGTTCCAACTTCAGCATTTTTAGGCCCATCAATAGATACGGTTAATTTTCCACCACCCAAATTTTTTGTATATCCAACGGTAAATTTATTTGGGCGACCAAGTACGCCAACGGTTAATCCTGGACCATCCGCCCAAGCAATAAAAACACATTTATCAGCTAAAAATTTGGGAAAACACTAGGTTACAGGAGTAAAAAATTGCCAGAATGTTGCATTAAAAACTCTCTATTATACAAGTGACAGGCCAAAACGTGAAAAGGACAAGACACGGATATAAAAAATGAGGGCGGACAAAATGCGGTATTACAGGCGTTACGACGATTGTGGATACGCAGATGCGATGCGCAAATCCGGATTTAACAATTGGTGATTTTTGTAAATTATCGAAATATTATCAAGTAATTTAGTCCCGGCTGTCAGTTTTCGAATTCTGACGGTTTCAGAATCGTGATGAGGCGACACAAAAATTTTAAAAAATCGTAAATTTAAAAAAATTTTTATATCGGCAATCGTCGTCCTCAGTCCGGAACAGACATGGGCGAAACTCCAAATTTTTTTCGGACGAAACGAAACGAAACAAAAATTTTTAAAAATCGTTTCGTTAACAAAACGAAACAGTCAGAATTTAACGAAACGAAACAAAACGAAACATTTTAAATTCCCAAAAATCTCAAAAAAACTTAATTATTTTATTATCTATTCAAGTTTAAGCATATTAATTGGCCAATAATGACCTATATGTTATCATATAATTATATGGGACCACAAATTATGGTCCCATTAGCCATATGGTGTGGGCCCAATCAGTCTTAGAAGGCTTTGAAGCCATAAATTTTCCTTTTTCTGTCCTTTTCAGCGCCGCATACGAAAATTTTGAGAATTTTGGAAGGGCCGTATTCTTTTTTCAGCGCCGCAGGCGAAAATTTTGTTAATTTCAGAAGGTCGTAGGCAAAAAAATTCAATTTTTAGTGGTCAAAAGAAAAATTTTAAGAATTTTTCTATTGATATCAAGTACGAAAGTATGTCAAAAACGAAAGTACTCAGATTTATGTTGATCAACAACATTCATGATCGTTGGCATAAGTTGCGTTTTTCGTTTTATGAGATTGTCTCTTGCGCCTACCCATGGTTGGCATTAGGAGATAATTTATGTGTTTATTTAAGAAATAGATTAGAGATAGACCGACCCATTAAGAAATAGACCCAATCTATATGCTTAATCTAGCATAGAACTCAAACATTGCGTATTAAAAACATAAAATCAGACGGAAAATTTATAAAACTATAGTAAATTATGCGCCGTAGGCGCTTACAATTCAGATTTCGGCGCCGCAGGCAAAAATTTTTTGAATTTCCATCAAGAAAGTGGAAAATTTTTCAGTTTTTGAGTAATATTTTGGCTTAAAAAATAGGTAAAGTTTCGTTAACGAAACACAGGTGTTTCGTTAACAAAACGAAACGAAACAAATTAAAAAGTGTTTCGTCACGAAACGAGACGAAACAGTAAAAAACATAACGAAACTAACGAAACAACGAAACGAAACGTTTCGCCCATGTCTGGTCCGGAATTGTCGCATTCGCAATTGCGTATTCGTAATTTTCATACAGCCGTATTAACACAATATGTAAATTACAAAAACACGGAATATTTTTAAAATAAGATTATCCTAAAAATCATAATATTTCCTAAAATAGAATTTTTCAAAAATTAGAATTAAAAATCTGAAAACTTCTGATCATAAAAAAATGATTTCAAAATCTTCGTATTTTGGACGTTTCGTGTTTTGTTTATTCCGTGTTAACATTGAGTTGATTAATTTTCGGTACGTGTCTCGTGGGAGTTAACGGGTTTCAGGTTTTGAACTAGTAAAATAAATCCCAATTTTTCTGCTTTTTAAACCTTTCATATTTAACACAAAATGGACCGAGGGGAGAGGCATAAGTACCGCAAAAATTTTTTTCAAAAATAAAAAAAAAATCATACAATTTTCCATTCCAAGATTTGGTTTTACATTTTTATCAACACATCCCCATCGTTTTATCTTTAAAATGTTAAAATTATTAAAAAAGCTAAAAAGAAAATGATTCAAAGGTCCACGGTACTTCAACAAAGCTTAGTTTATATAACATTAGTAGCAAGAGGTTGGATCTCAGAGAGAGGCACAGCCGATATTTGTGCATAAAATTTTGGATTCGAAAAATTGAACAAAAATTAGAATCCCAATAAAATAAAAAAAATTTTTGGAGCATTTTTAATGTGACATTTTAATGCAACGAAATCGGTACTTTATTAATATCCCACCCTTTCCCCTATTTGAGTCTCAGATTAATTTTCCTTTTTTACTGTCAATCATCCTTTCCCTCATAAATTTTAAGCAAAAGGCAAGTTAGAAGGAAGAAAATTAAAAATGAGGCATTCTAACTTGTCATTTATTAAAAATTTTTGAGGAAAAGGATGATTGACGGCAAAAAAGGAAAATTAATCTGAGACTCAAATAGGGGTGGGGGGTGGGATATTAATAAAGTACCACGAAATCTTACCAAATCGCACGTGTGATCAGCACACAAAATGTAATTCTTTTGAAATTCTTTTAAATAAGCATTGCATTTATACAATTCATCTGGATTTTTAGAGCAGCGCCAAATTCCTTTACTTTCTAAAATATACTCGAATCGACCGTGTATAATACTAGTTTTAGAATTCTTTGTTGTGTCAAAGAAAACCCATTCATTTAGTCTAAAATAGAAAAAAATAGGCTCGACAACCGAAAGCCAAAAAAAACCTCTCAACACATTTCTTGCGGCGTTCAACCAAAAAAGAATCAAAGCATTCTAAGGCATATTTTAAATCAAAACGGACAGAAAATTTAGCTTCATATTCGGTATGGTCAATACAATTAGTTGGAAGTTTTAAAAGAAGTTTTTGACCTGGAGGAGCAGATACATAGTAGAGCTGTAAAATTGAAAGGGGAATTATAAAGGCGAAAAGCAATGGGGTGAATCAATAAAAAAAGCTGAACTACGATCAGAAAATACGAAAAATGAGCCTGTCTATGGAATCGGAAAATAAATTTGCAGATAGAAAAAATAAAAAATCCAGATCACGGTAAAGGCATCGCTCATTACCCAATGAAAAAACATGTTTTTGGAATGCAATAAATGCTCTGATTATAAGTGAAATATCAGATGAGCTCTTTCAAATGAGCTAGTACTTCCACATTCGAATTTTTGACCCCAAAAACCGGCTTGGTCCTCTCGACGAGTTTTCAATTTTATGGGTCTGCAAATCTGGAGGAAAAAGCTTGCCATCCGTATGAGCACTTTTTTTGATATCAGGTATCGCCGTATCATTTTAGACATGACAAAAATGTTTTTTGATGGGTTGATAAGCTATACCCTAGCCGAGATCGGCCTCTAAAACACACTATCTAACAATAAAAATAACAAAATAAAAAATACAATAGAGATATCAGTCCGACACTGTGGGCATTGTTTTGTTTCCCCAATCACGCGGATACGCATTGAACATTCCATACAAATCTATAAAATAAATTAGAAACAGTTCCAATTAAAACAAAAAATAAACCGGATGCAAGCACTCTCCAAGTCCAAAAAGATCAGAACGATGACGACAAATTAGACAATTGCTGATTTCCCCATCTGGATTTAGAGCAGGTTTTTGTTGGTTGTTTCCACGAGAAGTTTGTCCTGATTGTTGGTTGTTTTCTTGATTATTCTGACTTGACGAATGTTGATTCGGTTGATTCGTCTAGATTTTAAAATTATACATTTAATAAACTAAAGAAATTAAAAACTAGAGTACGGCACGGGACGGGACCCCGTACGGGATTTTACGGGATCCCGTCCCGGAATCCCGGGTTTTTAGCGACAAACGGGATTACCGGGATTAATCCCGCGGGATCCCGTCCCGCACAAAATTTTAAAAAACATCCCGTTCCGGGATCCCGGGAATGCGATTTTGCCGCACACTATTAAAAACCTTTTGATTATTCTCTTTAGTCAAATTTTGCTGATCTTGAGTATTTTGTTGTTTGGCTTTGCTTCGAGTGATCATAATTTTTAAAATCAATTATCCTAAACAACCTATAATTTAAACAATTTTGCAAATTTTTCAAAAAAAAATAAAAGATTTTAGTAGCCATAGCGAGAGACAATAGGAAAAAAGAAATAGTTAAAAAAATATTGGATCTAATGTCATTTTTCGATAGAAGACATTTGAGCCCCAAAATGATCATAATGTTTTAAAGCGAAACTTTTTCATTATTTTTGATGGTAATTCTGAAGATTGTCCCCCCCCATTTTTTCCTTACTTTTTCCTTCCTTATGTTTGTGCACAATGGTCAAATTTTTGCCCTTTCCTTTTCATCTTTGGCATATTCAAACAAGAGAGAAGATTAGTTTTGCTGCATTCATCAAATTATTTTTTGCCTGTTTTTTAATTATTTTTTTATTAACATAATTTCCGAAGGCAAAAAATAATTTGATGAATGCAGCAAAACTAATCTTCTCTCTTGTTTGAATATGCCAAAGAGGAAAAGGAAAGGGCAAAAATCTGACCATTGTGTACAAACATAAGGAAGGAAAAAGTAAGGAAAAAATGGGGGGGACAATCTTCAGAATTACCTTTTTGATTACAGTATTTAGACTAGAGATCGGTAAAATCGCATTTGCAGGATCCTGTATCAGGATTGGGTTTTAAAATTTCGAACAAGACAGGATCCGGCCAAATGTCCACTCCCCAAATTTCCAGACACGACCTCTGTCACTAATGATTTTTCTAATTTGCTAAATAATTTGGTTAGGAACCGATATCCGAGCAGAAAATTTTTGTTGAAAATTTTTTGTTGACCAGAAGCAAAATTTTTTGTTGAATTAGTGAAAATCATCGGCTGCGCCTCAAAATGTCCTACCCTTAAAATGTCCTGATGAATAAAAACACTCAAAATGTCCTAATGAATAAAAACCCTTAAAATGTCCTCCCTCAAAATGTCCTACCCAGAAAATGTCCTACCCCATTCCTTTTTTGGAATCCGGGTAATTTTAATTTAAAATCCGTAAAAAAAGGTTTCCGGAAAACTCGAAAAATGTTTTCCGGAAAACCCGGAAAATGTTTTCCGGAAAACCCGGAAACTGGAAAACCGGAAAACCTGTACTAGTCCAGAAAAACATTTTCAGCCATTTTCCGTAATTTTCCGCAAGCTATTTTTCGAGAATTTCCGGAAATCATTTTCCGGAAAAATTTCTCCACCTGTTCTCGGAACAACTTCATGTTCAGAAAAGCGTCTCTAATTTGTTTTTAATTTATAGTTCGAAGAATTGAGTATTTTAATCTGTTTGACATTTTGCGACTGGGACATTTTAGGGGAGGACATTTTGAGGGTTTTTGTTCATTAGGACATTTTCAGGGTAGGACATTTTGAGTGTTTTTATTCACCAGGACATTTCGAGGGTCGGACATTTTGAGGGCGCGCCAAAATCATCACGTGACTTAGAGGGAACCGTCAACTTATCTAGTATATTGATATTATGAAAAATAAAAAAAAATTAGGCACAAATTCCAGAAAATTAGGAATTCCCGGCGTTTTTTGCATCGGGAATTACAGATTATAGTGGATCGAGAATCTCTAAATAAATTTGAAAACAAAAAAGAATTTAATTGTGAATACTATTTATCAGGTTTTTAAATTTCTAAATGAAATAATGGTTAGACAAAAGTATTCGATAAAGAAAAGAACTTTTTTATGCTTAATCCAATCCCAACATGACTGATCAATACTGATCGACCATTTAGTTGACATTTAAAATTATCGACGTGTAACTAAAGGCCGATCAGATTTTAGCCATTCAGTTGGAAAAAAGTCTATTATCGAGAACTTTCGCATAATAAAAGATTCATTTGGATTGGATCAAGCATTTGAAAGATTAGGTAAAGGAAGGTAAAAAAAGAAAGTAAGAAATTAGGTAAAAGAAGATAAATTGGAAACCGCGGGATATAACATAATAGCACTGTAAACTGTACTGACCAAATAAGATACACTAAACAAATGTTATAAACCCAAACTTCGTAAGTTTCTAACCCAAAACAAGTTAAGGAATCCAAAAGAACTATAAAAGAGAGGAGATGATTGGCCAGAGATTTGCCCAAAAAGTCACTAGATAATAAAGACCAAATAGTGTAAACCGACTATGTATATCAGTCGTAGCTACGTTTCTAAACAAAAAATTTTCAAAACTAAAACTCAAAATAGCATGGTCCTTGCCCACTTAAAAATTTGAATGTGGACTACTGAAAAGACTAATTTGTTATTGTGTTCTATAATATTTTTAGGGACCTAATTGGTCTGGGTCTATTCATTGACATATCTAAATTTTCTTCAATGGTCCACCAGAAGTAGGTTTTCGATTCTAGGAATATTATGGAACACAAAACAAATTAATCCTTTTAAGATAAAAATGCGAAAATTTTAGGGAAATTGGAAAAGACAAAGGAAATGAATAGAGTTTGCGGATGAATGAACTATAATGAACAGTTTGTGGGTCCAATGAAAATCTATGAGTCCAATGAGATGGTCCAATGAAAAATTACTCGTGCAATTAATATCTTATGATCCGATTTAAAAAAAAAGTCAACCCTGAAGACCATACCCTGAAGGGATTAAGGGAATATCGTTTGTTTGAAGGGATTAAATAGGAATATCGATGGATTAAAGATATTAGAAGGGATGTCGAGGAATCAAGCGATGGGGAAAATGAAAAAAACTAAGAAAGAAAATGATCAAAAAAGCGAATTTTTTTGCATATAGCATCTAAAATTCTCAAAAATTTTCGACTGCAGCGCCAAAGAAGGATGATTCCTGGGCAACTGGACGAGTTTTCTTTCTAAATTAGCCTCATTCAATCGTCATCTTCTTCTTCATCGTCATCTTCCTCCTCTTCTTCGTTTGTTGCGTCACAAGCATCCCCATCGTAATATGTTGTAATGTAATTAGTAACCTTTAAATTAAAGTTGTTAGCAACCGATTTTAATCAAAATTCTCTTATCTGACTTTCATCATTTTTAATTTTTAGAAATGTGAAAAATTATTCATAAGGAATAAGCAAAATGGTGGGAAAAGTATTTTGAATAAGCTAATATGTATTCCTCTCATACATTTTCTGGAGTGATGAGATAGAATTTGTGTAATAAAAACTTATTCCAAAAAACTCCTTAAAACTAACAAATATGTACCTGTGCAGAAAAATGACGAAATTGAGGGGGAATGAATCCTGTCCCAAATTCGGTCATTTTAGTTGAAGCTGGACTATAACCGAAGGTATGAAATGTCTCAAGCAAATAACCATTAATTACTTGTTCTTGTAACTTTGCTTGAAGATCTTCGTCATTTATAGAATAATAAATAAAATATAAATCATCAGAATTTGCAATAATAGTTGATAATATATTTTTTTGCAAATCTTGCATTCTCAAATCATCACTAAACAATGGGACTTCTAAAAATATTTTTTTATTTTTATTAGGACAAAATAAACACCCAGAGTAATTATTTTAGTAAATACTGTGTTTGTTGAGTCTATACTTTCAGAAATGAATAAAAATAAATCTGCTAAATCTTGTTAGATGTAGCAAAATCGGCAATTGTGCTCTATAGTATGGGATGATTCCACGGTGCAATAATTTCAGTTCCCAATTAACTGGAGAAGTCAGCTCTAGCAATTTAAATTTTCTTGTTATCAATAACTGGTCCTATCATAAATTCTTGGTTAAATGAACGGTAATTTAACCCTCAACTTGAATTTATGGTCAGTGATGTCAAAGTTCCATAATTTCTCTGGAACTAGTTCCAGTTCCAAAACTAGGTTTTTAATTTTTGTAGTTCAAGTTCCAGTTCCGGAACCCCATTTTTGAAATTCCTTAGTTGCAGTTCTGGAATTGGTTCCAAGCTAGTTAGTTCTAGTTCTGGAACTAATTAGTTCTAGTTCTGGAACTAGAACTAATTAGTTCCGGAACTGGAACTTTGACACACTGTTTATGGTATGAGCCCATTTGGAACAAACTGCATTTTTTTGATAGTTTTTTTGGATATTCAGTTTTCAATTATATATAATTAGGTAATATTACTTAAGATATTACACAGTTTGAAAAAATTTTAATTGAATTTTAAAAAAGAATTACTATGAAACGTAAATAGAAGGCAAATACGGTAAAAGAAGTTCTCTTGATTATGTAAACCAAAAGTTGGATTGTATGAGGTTTGTATATCGTCTTCGTTTTCTTCAAGTTCGTATAGAAGAATTTCACGAACTGTGATTAATTAATTTATTTATTAATTATTAAAGCCTCTCAAAAATGGTTATATTTATGCAATAAAAAATAATTTATGCAATGATATTTATTAGGGCCCGATATTACGGGGCGTGGAGCGTGGCCTCCCTCGAGTCCAGGGAATTCCCATGGGAATTAAGAAAAATCACATATTTTTTGATTATTAAAAATTCAGATTATGACACGACTATGCTTTTTAACTAAGAATATATCGGAACCAGCGGTGTTACCTACAATAAATAACCTACCATATTGCCCATCAATGTTTACGCTCGGATAGTTTTGTAGGCTAGTAAAGACATATAACTGTTCGAGGGATTTGTACAAAGAGTTTGCATGTACTTCAAATTCATCATATGCTTGTATGTAAGTTAGCAATGCTATTTGTAAACTGTTGGAAATATTTATTAGAAACCCTTTTTCTATTTTTTCAAAATTTTTTTAAATAAAAATTTCTTCATCGGTAAAAATTATAATAAAATCGGGCCCTACTATAAAATACCGTACATAAACCTAAAATACCTTAAACCTTCATAAAATGTAGGAAAAACTTGAAATATTTTTTTAGTGTATTAGAGCATAATTGGAACCAACTTCCTAACATTAATAGAATATTAATAAACGACGGTATCCCATATACCTCTTTATCCTTACAAATTTATATTAAAAATTAATTTATTAAGAAATTAATTTGTTTAAAACAATCTTAAAAACAATCTCACTCTGATTCTGCAAAAAAATTCAAGTAACTTCCAGCAAAACCATTGTAGACAAACATCTGTACAAGTCTCCGAGTTAATGTAAACAATTGATACAAAATAAATAAATTCCTTTCGTGTTGTGTAGGATTTCTAAGCTCTCGTATAAAATATTGAATTTCAGCATCCTCTAAATGTCGACGAATAGGAAATCCGTAATGATTCATTTCAAAGCCAAGATTATTCAAAAATATTTGAAAATTCCCCCTCGACATAAATTGCCCATAATCAGCAAGTCTTTCATAAATAAATGCTATATTGTCTACACGTGAAAGGTTAATTGCATCAAAATGGCGGTTTAGAGTAACTTCAAAATGTTCTAATACCTTAAAAACTTTTATTACATATACTAGGAAAGGCATATTTTCTAGGGTTTCACCATAACCGAAATTTTGACCGGAACCGGATCCAATTTGAGTTCCGGTTTCCGGAACCGGTCCGGAACCGGAACCGGAACCGGAACGATTTTTCTTTTAATACCAAGTACGAGAGTATGAGTAGTTTATTAATTTTTCGACACAAAACCCTCATATTGTGATGTGAAAATAAAAGTTTCTTTCAATTTCAAAGTGTGTGAAATATAATAAGTAGGGCTCGGATTTATATTTAAATAAATCACTGAAGCGGCCCTGCCCACGAACTAACCCGTGTCCGGACAAAATATCGAATCGTTAAAATATGGAATAGGCTAAAAAAGGGTTAAAATCTCGAATCGGGTAAAAATGGGTTAAAATCGCGAATAGGCTAAAAAGGGGTTAAAATGTGGAATCGTTAAAATATGGAATGGTAAAAATATCGAATCGGCTAAAAAAGGGTTAAAATATGGAATCGTTAAAATATCGAATTGATAAAATGTCGACACGGCCAAAATCGATCAAAATGTCGAATTTTTTTAAAGATGCGCCAAAACCTTGAATCCGGGCGTTACCGTAATACCGACGGTATTTTTCGGTATTCCGTGTCGGTTGTACGGTACGGAATGCCGACCGATAAAATTTAAAAGCTGACCGTTATTTTTCGGTATTCCATACCGTATACGGTAAGGTCAAACTTTAGGTCTTAACTAAAAACTAATGCATACCACTCTAATTTTTCCATATCAGGATCGCGTTATGTTTTCCGGATCCGTACGATCATGCCGGACCGGATCAGGTCGATTATGCTTGATTTATCCGGTCCGGTTTTACTCGGTAAAGTACAGTGAACTCAGACAGAAAAGATTACGACGGACTACGACTTACCAAACTTATCAATCAACTTATCATCAATAAACTGATGTTGATAAAATTATCAACAATCAACGTATGGCACAAATCTGACCCGTTTTTAAAAGAATTCGACATTTTGACACATTTTGGCCGTGTCGACATTTTTACCATTCCATATTTTTACGATTCCATATTTTAACCCTTTTTTACCCGATTCGATATTTTAACGATTCCATATTTTAACGATTCGGTATTTTAACCCCTTTTTAGCCTATTCGCGATTTTAACCATTCCATATTTTAACGATTCCATATTTTGTACCGGAGCCAACTAACCACTGTCTCTCCATTTTTTAATACATCTATCACCGGTCATTTCTGTCTTTCTTCTATAAGAACTCAATGGTCAGACACTGGTCAGTCAAGGCTTGTTCATGACCAAGGTCGTTTTTGTGCCCTATTTAAATATAAATCCGAGCCCTAATAATAAGTGATCAAGACCGTGACTTTACACCAAAATCAAAATCGAAAAAAATTAGTTTTGATATTCGAACCGAAATTTTTGGATATCGAGACCTTCTTCTTTAGAAGTAATTTAAGAGATAAGTAAAAAAAATTTAAAGACTTACCGCATTAAATTTTTGAATGGTAAACAAAATTTCTTGATCAGTTCCCCAATTATTGTAAATTACACCAAGTATACCCCCACCATTTTGTAAAAAAGTATCTCGAATTGGTATATTAGTTATGTTCATTGGATTAACTTCAATCGTATTCAATATACGAATAAGAAGAGAAAGGTCAACAATATTGAAAGATTTCAAATTAGGAGGCTCTCGCAGATGAGAACGGCCAGACTTCATTCTACTCCCTGCATTATTTTATTAAAAAAATTTTTTTCTATTTGAGAATGTAATAATTACACTTTTAATTATCAAAAAATTACATTTAAAAAGGTATCTCGAATTAGCGTATTTATAAGTAAATATTACAAAATGCAAATTATGAATAAAGTTATGACGGAATGAAGGTGTTTCTGGTCACCCTGTAATTTACTGAGGATTTTGTTGTGAAGGAAAAATTTAAAATTTAAATTAGGCCTAATATGTATATAAGATGGAGTGACATTTAAAAAGGTATCAAAAAGGTATCAAACAAAATTAATGACTGACTTTTGACTAAAAAATTTGTTTTTAACTAATTTACCTGAGGGGCGATGATGCATTCCGTTGACAGATTTTTGAGACAAATTCTCAATAAAAAATAATAAAAGATTTGTAAAAATGAATGGGTGAAATAACATTTTTCTTTAAATTTTTGATATAGGTAGTTTAGTATACCGGAGTTTAGTATACCATTCGACTCAGCTCGTCGAGACGAATCGAATGGTATGGGTCTTGTATCAAAACTAAAACTCCGGTATACTAAACTATATCCAAATTTTTTATTTAAAATTTGATAAGTTAATGAAACTTAAAAAAAATTTAAAACAAATAACATTTCAATTTTAAATGTCTAAAAAATGGATTTGAAAATAGGTATATAATTTGATAATTTAACGTAATTAGTTATACAATCAGAATTTGGCTCTTGTCCAGTTCATGCGTCCCATGAAGATTTATGCGGCCACTAAGAATTTATGAGTACCATACAAATTTATGAGTCCCAAAAATAATTTATGCGTCCCATGAAATAATTGAAAAAATATTCCAAAAAATATAAGCTCGTTGACCCTTGAGCAAGGCTTTATAACAGATTTTTTAAATGTTATTTTTTAATTTTGCAATATTTTTTCAATTCATTTCATGGGACACATAAATTTACATGGGACAAAAACTGCCTTGGAATTTTATATTTTTTAATTTGAAAAGAAAATTTTATTTTAAATAAATTTTTTAAAGAATTTAAAAATGAATTGCTAAATTTAATAAATGCTTTACGGGCAATTCTTTTTTATAGCTTTTTGTATTTTTTAGTATTCTCGTCGACTTTTCCGACTGCTACGTCTTAATAACTCCTGATTTATTCGATAGACAATGGCATGGGGGATAGAAAATATTTTAAGAGAGGGTAAAATAAAAAAAATTCAATAAAAAATTTTTTTAATGGAATCGATAAAAATTTTTAAATAAAAATTTATTTCTAAATTAATTTAAAAAATTATTTGCAGTAAATACTTTATTTATTCTAATAAAATGGCCGACATATATTTTGATTTTAATAACTACTTCCAAGTAGGATTTTCCAAGCAAATTTAGAATTCAAATTCCCCGAATTTCGAGGATGGTTAAGGATCATTGGGAATAATTTTATTTGTGAATTATATTTTAGTATATTATTTTGTATATTAAATTATACTAATAATTTATTATTAGTATATTAAAATTTGATCATTTAACTTGTTAATATTTGTCTAAATTGCACAAAGTGCTTTTATCTCCCCCACTAGCCCATGTAAATTGAATTTTTGTTTTGACAATCTACTTGAGAAATTTTCAGATTTGAATATTTTGAATAAAATAGTTGGATATAGTTTAGTATACCGGAATTCTAGTCCCGACACAAGACCCATACCATTCGATTCATCTCGGCGAGCTGAGTCGAATGGTACCAATCTTTTATCCGGAGATGCCTGTGCACCGAGATATAAGTCCCCGAAAATCGAAAAACAATAGGGGGGAGTAAGCTCAATTTTGGGGTGAAAACTCAGCTCGTTGAAATGAATCGAAAGGTATGGGTCATGTATTGGAACTAAAACTTCGGTATACTAAACTACAGCCAAATTTTCATTTATCTCTCTTTGTTTAACTAAAATTACAAATTTTCATTTTTAGTCCTTACTTTTTTTCTTCTTTTTTACAAGTTAATCAACTCAACACCCCAAACATACAACTTCCTTTTTAGGCTTTTTCCTCTCCTATATTAATTGCTCACCACCAAACTACTCTCCATATATCCTTTGTACTTTTTTCCGTTTCTACTAGAAAATAACCAAAAATAAATATATCTCCCCCCTTTCCTTTGTCTTCAATTTAATTGTCTCCATTCAGTACAAGTTTATTAAACAATAAAAACCTCAAAATTGTTGTTTTAGATTACACTTTTTAAAAATAAAAAGGGGCACAAATAGAAAAAAAGTTTTTCTTTCATTCCCCGCCTGTTCCGGTGTTTTTTAAATTTGACTGCAAAAATTATTTTCTGAATTTTATTTGAAATGTCTTAGAAATGATTTGTTCTGCTTGTTGGTTTCTGCTCTTGTTTTTGTGTGGGGTAAATACTCAATTGCATAATTCTTTAATGGGTATTTTTTAAATACAGTTAGACCTCTCTATTCAGACCTCACAAATACTTAGAGATTCCTAATCTTAAGATGATACATTTTTTAAATTTTGGTTGGCACTGGTGCTCAGATGTTTATGGAAGCTGAGATAAAAATCTGAAGATAAAATATCCTTAGTATAAGGAGATAATATAAGCAGACCTTCCACACAAACGTGTATTTATGGGAGCCAAAAATATCGTGACAGACATATCGGGATATTTCAATGTACGCACAGTAGAGATCGAGCTGGGCCTGGACCAAGGCCTGGGTTTTTCCTGTACCCAGAATCCAAGCCCAGGCATTTTTTGACCTTCCTGGGGTTTTCCTGGGCCTGTGTTTTTCCTGGACTACAGGCCCAGGATCCGGCCCAGGTCAATAGATCAAACCCGGAACCCAGGAACAGGCCCAGGCTTTTCAAAAATCCCGATCTCTAACGCACAGTTACCCTACTGATTTCGGGACATATGGCCAATGGATCTTAGATAGTACAATGTCATATTGAAGAAAAGAGTTTACATGTTTTAGGACCAACGTAAACACGCAAGAGGTTATAACAATACCGATATGTCTTTCTACCGTATTTATTAGTGAGGTCTGGCTGTTTTTACATTCTTTTTAAATTTAACAGAACAACCCCGGGTCAGTTGTGAACAGTCTCACATCAAAATGTTCATCCACACATGGCTTCCATTTAGCGGAAGTGTTTATGCCAAAGGATTTTTTCATAAAGATATTTGTAGAGTTCAAGGAAATGGAATTGGACATACAGCAAATATAACAATTCCTGTTAGTGCCGATTGTGGAATGAGAAGGAGAAGAAATGTTTATTTACTTTATTTTTAATACAACTTAACCTCATTATAAGAGTACCCTTGGGGCTGAGAAATCGCACGTTAAAATGAGTAGTGTCTTAACTTGAGGATATCGCTTATTGAGGATTGAGGATATGTCCTAAATGGGACATTGCAAGAACACCCTTGGGGTAGTGTGTAGAAAGAGTAGTGTCTTAAATTGAGGATATCGCTTAATATGGATACTTATTGAGGATTGGGGATATTAAATTGAGGATATCGAGATATCCCTACAAGGGGCATTTATTAACAACCTCCCCTATCCTATAACCCAAAAAGTTTATTTTTTAAATATGGATGTATTGGGTGTTTCTAATAATGATGTTTAAATGTATTTCTTAAAGATGAATCCAAATGGATTGAGTTTGGAAATGGATGTGATTATTATGTTTCATAAAAGATTTTTAACTAAAAATGATAGGGCAAGTAAATTATCTGGAGATATTTTTATCTTCCAAATTTTATAGGCTTTTCATCTCGAATGCCAATATATGGAACAACAGGAACAAAAACTTGGGAATCGACTAGAAATTAGGTCGGCACATATTTTTTACAAATATCTAGAAAATAATTCCTTACTGACTTTTAGTGCTCTTCCCTCAACGGAAATAGGCCAAACGTTGAAACAGGTAAATTTTTGAGTTAAAGTTGATTTATAGTTAGGAAAATAATTTCATCCCTTCCTACTAATCCCTTTCCTCATTTATTCCTCAATTAAATCATGTCCTTCTTACAATAATAAAAAATATTTTTAAAGTCACAAAATTTGCCAAAATGTCGTTATCAAGTACTCGGCTCCGAAAAAGGAGAACAAATTTCATTTGCAGCAATAGGCCAGCCAATAATTCACAAATGGATATGTAATTATTTGGGGAATGAAAATGAAGGGATTTATTGTTTAACAGTTCACAGTATTTTATAAATGTTTTGAAATCTTGTAGAATTTATTTTAAAAAGGCTGTCAGGTAGATGATGGACAAGGAAATGTACAAAAATTGTTGGATGAAAACGGGTAAATTACCAAATTTATTGTGGAAACTTATTATCAGATACGTTCTTACTTTGAAATATATATAATAATGAGGTGAAGGGGTTATTGCTTAAGGAGTTACCGTATAACCTGTATTAATTGCCCTCCCTTAAATAATTACCCCACTTAAATTAATTACCCCATCCAGCAATGGATTGTAACAATAAGTACCTCCCAACAAATGCCCTAAAACACATTCAAATTTTAAACCTCGTATAATTACCCTCCCTCGATTAATTACTCCCTCCAGCGGAAGGTCGAAACAATAATCACCCAGGGTAGTTATTAAAGGATAAACGGTATTGCCCTCCACACATTGCTTCTAGTAATTGAGATCTGATAAAATCGAGGGATCTGAAATTGGGCCAGGATATACTGTGATTTCGACTTATCCGCCAAAACCAAAAGTAACCGACCAAATTTAAAGAAATTATCTAAAATAGAGGTATATCTTGGTGATATTATAATGAGGCTTGATATTTTCAGCAGTAGTAGAGTATTTTTAGTCCCTTTCATTTTTTAATTTAGTTGTCCAATAGATGAAGCCCTTTTCGGATTAATTGAATACAAAACTGATTTGGAAGCAATTCAGAGAGGAAATGCTTTTAAATTTGCAGACAGAAATACTATATATTTCAAGTATTTCAATAAATATATTAAAGATTAAATTTAAAATTAGTTGTCAACTTCGTTTAGAATTAAAAAATGGCTGGAAAGAATGTCAGGTTTGTGTTGGAGTTAAAAGCTTTTAGCGCCTGTCAGAAACTTTCTACGGGGAAATTGCTACAGCTAATTCTTTAATAGGAGCTTCGCTAACCCAAAGTTCAAGTGCTTGTCTAGCTGAGCTATAACGGGACGATAACTTTATTTTCGCTCGGGATGATACGAAAACTTCTATGTAATACACTGTGTTTCAAAAGTATACGCGCACCTAAATTTTCGATTTTTCTGTCATTAATACTTATGTAAATATCTTCTAGATTTTTTATAATACATATATACAGGAACTAAACAAGAAGATCCATGGACAATTTCCCCAAAAAATTCAATAATTTATTTTTATTTTTAATTTTTTCACAAAATAGGGTGTTTTATAAGTATACGCGCACTTATATAACTAAAAATTTTCGACATTAGGGATGGTTCGAAAATCCACAAAAATTTCTGTAAACATAGCAAGTGATATTGAAGCAAAATACAAAAGAAATGAAGTATAAGTGCGCGTATACTTATAAAACACCCTATTTTGGGAAAAAATTAAAAATAAAAATAAATTATTGAATTTTTTGGGGAAATTGTCCATGGATCTTCTTGTTTAGTTCCTGTATATATGTATTATAAAAAATCTAGAAGATATTTACATAAGTATTAATGACAGAAAAATCGAAAATTTAGGTGCGCGTATACTTTTGAAACACAGTGTACGCTATCGGGAATAAGACAATTATAGACAATAGTTCCTGATGTGAAAATTGCGGATATATGTAAAATTTAGAAGTAAAGCAAAAGATTATTGAAATGATGGCCGATTATGGAGTGCCAGAGCTTTTTTGCTCTGGCAAGTTTGGAACGAATTTTGGATTTTATGGTGTTGAAAACTTAGTTAATTTCATTACGCAATTGTCGTGCCGCCTTCTCGCTTATAGACCTTAACTTAATTGTCTTAATAGCTATCCAGCTAGTAGCTTTACCTTTCCTAAGTAAAGCAGTTGGACTACAGCTATGTATTTCTCTCCTTTAGCTAGTGCAAAAGGTTAATCGGCGGCTGGGTGCGAACCAGCATCTTCAGTAGACCGGATTGATGTGTTAGCCATTACACCACGCCGCCTACTGCACAGCCTTAGGAATTAAATAGCTATATGCTTTACACCTACACTTGTTTATTTTTAAAGAGAAGTGAATGCTCTACTATACTATCAACAACAACTTCAATACCTCCAAATTTATCAGAAAATAGCCCTTCCACAATTCAAAACGAAAATCAAATTCTCGAAGAATTGACAACAGAAAGTGCTCCTTTAAATATTTCTAATAAACCCTTAATTACTTCAACTAGTGGATATTTAAAAAATAAAACTTCAACAGCTCCCCAAGAATTATCTTCAGAAAAAGAAGAAAATTATGAAAAAGAAAATAAAGAAATAATAAAAACAAAAATATTTAAAAATCGGGAAGGGGTTGAAGTAATTAAGAAGAATAAAGGAGAAGAAGAAGAAAATTGTAAACAATTTTTGTTAAATAAATTTGGGTTTTGTAATGAAGATGAGGAGGATATTTTAAATCAGCAAAGGTTTAGTCGTTCTTCAAATGAAGGAAATATTGAAAGGAACAAAGAAGGGAAGAAAAAGAGATTTTCGGAAAATATAAAAATGGATATTGAAGTAAATAAAGCAATTGATGTTTTTGATTTGATGAATTCGGGGAAGGAAGGAATTAATTCTATTAATAAGGTAGGGATGGAACCTTTTTAGTCTATAACGTGGAGGAATCCTTTGTTTTTTGCTTAGCTCTATGAAATTTCTATTTTTTGCCTTTAATCAACAAATTTGTGTCCTATTAAAAATGGAATAACATGAATATTTCAGACGGTTTCCTTTTGAAGTCGATCTGAAACTAGATTCTCGATAGAACACTAAAATCTGACTTCTAAATTTAATAAGGTCTACCAAGGTCAATGAATTCTTCACAATAATATAGATTATTATCTTCTAATTATAATCTTCACGATAATAATTAGAAGGAAGCATTCTGTTGTGCTTCGTCCTAGGCTTAATCTACATATGTTAGTTTTATTCCATCTCCTACCAGAGGTGGTCGCATTGCGTTTTGCGTTATTTGCGTTAAATTTTGGCCTTTTTTTGCGTTGTGCGTTTTGCGTTAATTTCGATGAAATTAACGCAAAAAATATACACAATCTGAGGACAAAATTGGAGAAATTTGGCTTCTTGGCCTTCCAAAATTTTGAAAATTTTCGCCTGCGGCGCTAAAAAAGAAGAAATCTGGCTGCTTGGATTACCAAACTTCCCAAAATTTTCGTCTGCGGCGCTAAAAAAGTAAGTAGGATCAAGTAGAACTAAGGGAAAGATCAGTTGATCTGAAGGGATAGAAGAATATTGGTCGAATTACTGGGATTATGGTGGGTTTAAAAAGATATCGGAGATTTGTAGTGATATCTGGGAATCCATCAATTTGAGAAAATATTAATGGATTGTGAGAATTAAAAAAACTAAGGGATATGATGAAGATATCTAGAGATTAAGAAATTGAGAGACATTCAAATCAGCTCCAAATCCCCTGATATCCCCGGTATCAATTTATAACTACTGATAGCCCTTTATTCTCCGCTATCTCTCCAACTCACTCGACATCTGGGGCAATCCCATAGTATCTTTTTAAATCTCCTTAACCCCTCGAAATTACATGATAATCTCCGTAATCCCACGCTACTTCGGTAAACCCCCTTGAGACCTCTAAATCCTCTGATATCCTTCATAATCCCTTGTATCACCGATATCTCTCCAGATCATTACCCATCCAACTTAAAGTAGCACAAAATCGAGTAGGACTCGCTGACTTATAGTAATACTTCAATTTTTAACTGAAAAATGGCTAATACTTAATTTCAAAAATTTTTTTCCCAATTTTGCGTTCTTGCGTTTTGCGTTATTTGCGTTAAATTTTGGCCTTGCGTTGCGTTTTGCGTTTTTTGAGATTGTCTCTTGCGCCCACCCCTGTCTCCTACCACGTAACTTTTTCCACTTTTTGCTTGATTGGTCCTTTTTTGTTTGATTAGTTTGAAAGATCATTTCTGAATTAAAAATGTGGGATATAAACATTGCATTTCCTGAATTAATACTTCTTGGAATTATTACTGGACACAATCAAAAATATTTATGAAGTTTCAATTTGGATCCTTAATTAAAATAATTAAACAGTGTTGTATTTAGGGGTATTATAGCATTGTAACAAGATATTATTTATTTCTATAGTTTTATCGTACACACCACCCAACCTACAAATTGCAAACAGAACCTATTGATATATTTCAACAGGTTGGTGGATATTTTAAAAATAAAAAAAATAATTTTATTTATTTTTTATGTCTGTATTTCAAGACAACTTCTCTCCTCAACATTATTCCTTGGAGTGCTGTGCCTTTTAACAATTCTAACATTCTTTGTTTGTTTTATTATTTCCTTCTACCATAAATTAAAGAATAACCAAATGTGTGATAAAAAAATAAAATCTTTAGTTAATGTCTAGAAAAATTTTTTTTTAGTTTAATTGTTTACCCTCCATTTTTTATTTGTTTGGATACTTCATAATAAATTTAGTAATTCTCTGTGTATAAATTTTTATGGGTCTTGTAAGTAATAGACTCCAAAAATTTTCGACTGTGAAGTTAAAAGACTAAATTTTTGGCCCTCGATGCTATCTTTTCTGTGCTGCATTATTTGAATTAACAAGCTATGAACATGTAAAATTCAACATTTTGCATAAATTTTAGATGTATAAAATACCTATACAAACATCAGAAATAATAATAAAAGAATTGCCTATCTCGGGCATATAAAAAAGCTATGTATAATTAAACGCATTACAGACAGGCAATACTTTTTATATGGATTCTTATACCCTCAAATCCATCGATATGGTGAATTTTTATTGTTGATTTTTTTACGGTTTGTTTCAAAATTAAACGGTTTTGTGCTACCCTAGTATTTACTGTAAATATTTTTTTTAATTTTAATTTATAAAAAAACTTTTATTTAAAAATTTTTATTAAAAAAATTTTTTATTGAATTTTTATTTTCTCTTTAATTTAATTTACCTATCACTTATATAAATTTGTCTGTTGATTAAATCAGGAGTTATTGAGACGTAGCAGTCGAAAAATACAAATAAAAAATAGTAAACAAGAATTGCCTATAAAGCCTGTCTATAAAGCATTTATTAATTTTTCTATCCATTTTTGAATCCTCTAAAAAATTTATTTAAAATAAAATTTTATTTTCAAATTAAAAATTAAAAAATATAAAATTCCATGGCAGTTTTTGTACTATATTGGGCTCTTGTCCAGTTCATGAGTCCCATAAAAATTTATGCGTTCCAAAAATAATTTATGCGTCGCATAAAAATCTATACGTCCCATGAAATAAATTGAAAAATATTTTTTGTTAATTAATAATACTGTTCCTGTTAATCAAATACGGTATTTCCTAAAATAATACTCCCCACTTGAATTAGTACTCGCCCTTAAATAATAACCCCCTTTGGAGGAGGGTTGAAAAATAGTATGTATTCCCCCCTGAATTGGTATCCCTCTAAAATATTTTTCCCTATATTTGACCTTTGCCGGTTCCACGGTTCCGGTTCCAAACCGGTTCCGGACTTTTACCGGTTCCATTTCCGGAACCAGAACCGCACCGGTTCCGGAACCGGAACCCCTGCATCACTGATTATTGGATTAAGGTTTGATAAAGGAATTTGAGGGAATAATGAATATTTATCAGATTAGGTGATTTTGGTTGATTAAGAGTGATCAAAGGATAAATTGAATCATAAATCCTCTTAATCAACCGATATTTCATCGTTACCTCAAATCTAAAAATATCCAGATATCCAAATCACTGATATTCAGATATCCAAATCACGGTGTGAAAGTATAAATGTTAAATGTTATTTTTAAATTTTTGAATATTTTTTCAATTCATTTCATGGGACGCATAAATTATTTTTGGGGCGCATAAATTTTTATGGGACTCATAAATTCTCTTGGGACGCAAAAATCTTCATGGGACGCATGAACAGGACAAGAGCCAAAAAGAGACTAGAATTAATTAATTTAAAAAATTTATCCAGCTTTATTTAATAAAAAATGCTATTATAATTTATTTTCCAAATTAAAACAATTATTTAATTATTTATTGTGATATTTTTCGAACCTATAATTGGATAAAACTCTGAACATAACTCACTATCCATTCAACCACACCTGCTTTGAAAAGGAAAAGAAAGAGAATCTTTTTACCCGTCTCAATTTTCTCTTCCTTTTCTTTTCACACCTACCATCTTTGCTTATTTGCTTCTTTTTCTCTAACCCATCTTTAGGGGTATATAGCCGAAGCCGTGGGGAATTGGAAAACCTTTGCTCCGGCTACGGGCACGTCAAATTCTTGGCTCCGGCTCCAGCTCCGGGGCTTTAAAAATCTTAGCTCCGCCGGAGCCGGCTCCGGAGCCGGGCTCCGGAGCTAGCTCCCGGAGCCATACCCAGCACTGATGACTACTTCCCTAAACAAGTTATAGAAAAATTTTTACCCGGAAATTTCATACCGGAATTTTTAAAAATTTGTTGGACAGTGCTTTTTTGAACTTTAGTATGAGATGAAATTTTGCAACCACCAAATCTTTGGGAAAAAGATTAGATAATGGAACCAGGCTTATAAGCCCTGAAAGAGATTTGAGTGGGCTACAAAATAAGTTTAAAGATAGTACTAATTATAAATGAGAAAAAAAGTTATGGCAAAATTAAAAGTATCCTAAATTATGGTAAAGTAGAATAAGGAGATAACTGTGCAAAATTACGAACATTAAAAGAATTTAATCAGATTGAACCTGGCTTAGGGATCTTCCAAAATTCTCAAGATTTTGCCTGCGGCGCTGGAATCCCAAGAAAAGTCTTGGAATTAAGACCAAGAGTCTCGCACGCCTCTAGTACCTATTACTTTCCTCAAATCTACTGAATTCTCACAAATCATCTGATAAACTACAAAAGTTTCCACATATTGATTCAACCTAGATTTTTGTTAATTCTAAATTTCCTCGATAACTCTGTTAATCACCAAATCCATTCATAATTGCTCCTAATTTCTCTATATCCTTCTATGGGACTCAACTTTTCAGCGCCGCAGACGAAAATTTTGAAAATAAAACTTTTTGATTCCGGTTCCGGATATCCGAAATCTTCGGTTCGGATATCGGTTCCGGTTCCGGATATCGGCCATTGTGCGTAAACCGCACAATTTTTCTTAAAAATTTATTTTTTATTATTTTTCACCTTTTTACAATAAACCACGCCCCCGCCGGCCTACCAGTTAAATCTGACAACTTCGGTTGTCACTTGCTTTTTTGTTAAACTTCAACATATATTTTGATACCCACTCATATATTTGGATAATTTTTAATTAAATAAATTTTCTTCTTTTTTAAATTGTTTTTGTGTTTAATTCTAGGGTTAGGGAATTAGGGAGTAAAATTAAATTGCCATTCTAGGCACATAAAAATTGGAGCCCCGTACGGGTCAGTGTCGAATACCCGTATCTACATATAATCTTCACGGCATAGAGCCGATCCCTTCGCTCAGCCTAATTATTACCCATAACGATTGCCGGCCAGAGGTGCCCATCGTTATCTTACTTACATTTTCTCTAACAAGTGCCGGCCAAGAGTGCCCCTTGTTAGCTTAATCAAT